TCATTTGGGTAAATACCAAGGAGGATGACTGCTGGATTATATGGTAAGTATGTTGGTTTTTTAAGAAACTACCAAACTGTCTTCCGAAGTGGGCATACCATTTTGTATTCCCACCAGCAATGAGAGTCCTAGCTGCTCCACATCCTTTAGCAGTGTTTGGTGCTGTCAGTGTTTTGGATTTTCACATTCTAATAGGTGTGTAGTGGTATTATTTCATTGTTTCAGTCGTAATTCCTAATAACAGATGGCACTGACCATCTTTTCATAGGCTTATTTGCCATGTATAGATTTTCTTTGATGAGATGTCTGTTCAGATCATTTGACCAGTTTTTAATCAGTTGTTTGCTTTCCTAAGTCTTTTCAAGCCAATTTTTTTTTTTTAAGAGAGAGAGAGAGAGTGAGAGAGAGCATGAGAGGGGAGAAGGTCAGAGGGAGAAGCAGACTCCCCATGGAGCTGGGAGCCCAATGTGGGACTTGATCCCAGAACTCCAGGATCATGACCTGAGCCCAAGGCAGCTGCCTAACCAACTGAGCCACCCAAGCGCCCTCAAGCCAATTTTTGAGCCCGTTCCAATCTCCAACAATACCAGAAGCCTGTGCACAGTAGCAAACATGGGTTGTCCATCAAATACCTCGTCAATTCTACTCTGTAACATCAGAGAATGGGTCATTCACACAAGTAGCCCTGGAGGCCCTGGCAGAGGAAGCCAGAAGTCACATCCCCTCACTTTTCCCTTGTGGGTCTCAGGGAGGTAAAAGGCCTTGGTCTGAGTGGGGTGGCCTCATGTCAGCAGAGGGAAGTGTGCCCAGAGGGTACTGGAATTCAAGTAACTATGCCCCCCCCCACGCCAGGACTTTGGAGGCTGAAACCGGGTGGGGCTCTGTGGGAGCTCCTGTGTTCTGGGGGCGCAGTCTCCTCTGAACACGCTCAGGGTTTTTGTCTTAGCCTCTGACCCCACCTAGGCTTCCTCTGCTTATTGGATGAACCGTCCTCCAAGTAAGACTGGCACCTCCAGAGAAAGAGGAAGTAAGGGAGCCTAGCATCAGACGACCTTTGCTCAGGGATTCCCTTGGCTGACAGCAGAGGCAACGAGTGGGTTCGATTTTCAGAAAACTTATACTTCTGCTTTCAGCCTTTTTATACAATTCCCATGTAACTATAAAATCACAACTCACAAATCTGAGGATTCTGGGTTTTATTGTAACCAGAGTTCCCTTCCCCCCTGAAAAACAAGTCAAATACTATGCCAGCCTCTTACTTTTAAACTCATGGCTTTCATGAAGTCATTTTACGAGCACTGAGTAATAAAATCAACCACCTAAACATTAAAAAAATCATTTTATAAGGAAAAAGGGTTATTTGTAACTCATGTATAAATATATTTTTAGATATTGAAGATTTTTTTTAAATACTGGTTTTTTCCCTCTGAACCCCACACCTGAAGAATGTATTACTCAGAATAAACACAAATAGTCCCTATGTCGGTTCTGCTACACTATACAGATTTTAAGTGGCTAGACCTCTTATTAATAGGAGCAGCATTACTGTAACGGTCATTTGCATTCATCAGTGTCACAGTTATTGTGTATTTCTAGTAGAAAAGTTCCTGATACCAATCTGGCTCTCCTACACTTACACATAAGTAAATGACCTCTGTTTGCTTTATTTGGTCTTGCTTTCTTTTTTTTTTTCTTTTTTTTAAAGATTTTATCTATTTATTTGACAGACACAGATCACAAGCAGGCAGAGAGGCAGGCAGGTGGGGTGGGGGGAAGCAGGCTCGCCGCCGAGCAGAAAGCCCAATGTGGGGCCTGATCCCAGGATCCTGGGATCATGACCCGAGCTGAAGGCAGAGGCCTTAACCCACTGAGCCACCCAGGTGCCCCTGGTCTTGCTTTCTTATTAAGACTTTCTCTGTAAGGTTGTTGTATTTGACTATAAAATCACAACTCACAAGCACTGCAGGACAGAAGCTGGTAAGTGGGTTCTGCTTTGTCAACCGCACGCCCTCGGCAAACCCCGTGCGACGCGCGAGCGCCCTCCATGCTCACGGTCCGTGGGGCTCCCTGCACCCTCGAGCTCCCGAAGCTGAACAGCATGCTTACCAAAGGTTATCTAGGCCCCAAACATATCTGTCAGCTATAGATGTTACTGCAAACAGGTAATGTAACTCATATAGGAGTTTTGTATTGCTGAATAAGAAATTATCACACCCTGGCAACTTGGAACAACACACGTGCATCATCTCGTGGTTCCTGGGCAGGGCTTCTTTGGGTCCTCCCGCTTCCGTCAAGGTGTTGCTCTCTCATCTCAGGGCCCATGGGGAAGAGTCCATGTCCAAGCTAACCCAGGCTGCAGCTACAGGACTGAGGACCCCAGGTTCCTGGTGGCTCTTGAGCGGAGGCCGCCCTGACCTCTTGGAGACCGCTTCCATGTCCTTGCCAAGCGGCCTTCTCCAACATGGCCATTTACTTTATCGAGCCAGCAAGGACAATCTCCAGGGCAGGCTGCCAAGCAAGACAGGCCTAAATCCAAAATGTAATCATGGGAATGAAAGCCCATCACCTTTTCTATATTCTATTGGTTAAGAAACAAGTCAGAGGACCTGCTCACATCTAAGGAAAAGGGATTATATAAAGGTGCGAACACCAGAAGCAGGGATCATTGGGGGTTGCCTTAAAGTCTGTCTAACACAACTAAATGTTACATAAACCAATGAACTAAAGTTTATTGTTTACCAAAACAAGCCAAACTGAATAATCTGTGAATACTAGATAAAAGCTACTAAAGAAATTATTGTCCACTTAAGTGTGAGCAAGCTAAATGTCAAGGATGAAAATAAAATCTAGTGGTCTGCTCTCAGATCATTTCTGGGTGTCTTTAAATTCTCCCTTTATTAATTAAAGAAACAAAACAAAACTGGAAATAGCAGCAAATGTGAGTTTATGGGTGAGATTTGTGCAAGAAAAACAAAGCTGAATGCCAATCAACAGACTCAAACTAGGAGTGTAGAGGGGAACCTTGGCTTATGTGAAAAGACTGGTCAATGGTTATGTATTTTATTCAATTTAAATGTTAAATGTCCATATCATTTTTCATACTTCTTCCCATAGCTTATGTCCTCAGTTAACAGCTCCTCACTGCAGTGGAAGAGGGCTTCCACCTACTTTCCTGCTGGCACGGCCACTTCTAGAAGGCGGTCCAGGAAGAGCAGCATGGACAGGCCACACCAGCTCTAGTTCTAGCTCCACCTCCTTCTCTTCTGCCTCAAGAAAACACATCAGATTGTAAGAGTGGAGACATATCATCACATGGGTAATCTTGAGTTTATTCTCATTAATTTTTATGCAATTATTAGCAAATTTGGTAGTTTACTCTTGGAAGCAAACTGGTGGAGAAAAATCTTACAATGTATAATGAAAACATACTGATGTCTCTTGGAAGCTCCATGGTTGAGAATCAGTAATCTCACGGAATGGATTAGATGCATATCCTTCGACATTCCATAGATACTGGTTTTTGTTTACTTCATAAGCTAGGTTTTGAGTGCCAATGATTTCATGAATGTAGTCCCTGACAGGAACCTAGAATTTAGCCACTCTGTTCTACCAAGAACAGAGATGAGCTGGAGACAGGATTAAAATTATCTTCTGAGGGTATCTGGGTGGCTCATTCGGTTAAGCTTCTGCCTTTGTCTCAGGTCATGATCTCGGGTCTTAGGGATTGAGCCTAAGTTCAATTAGGCTCCTTGCTCAGCAGGGAGTCTACTTCTCCCCCTCCCCCTTCTCCCTGCTCCTGCTCTTTCTTGCTCTCTCTCAAATAAATAAATAAAATCCTTAAAAAAGTTATCTTCTGAAAATTGGAGCACCTAACAAAAATGTCCCTACAAAAATGTAGAGAGAAGGCCACTCTATTGCCCTCTGGAGATGAAGCCAGGGAAACAGTTACAGGAAGGGCCAAAGTTCTCATCAGAATGTAATTTTTTATTCCAGTGAAAAGAATAACACACAGCCATCTCAAAGATGTCTTCAATATGCTGCTCTATCCTTAGTTTCCTCTCCTTCAGTAATCATTGACAAAGAGTGAGGAAAAAACCGTAACCAGTAAGAGCATGAATGGGTCTGTGTGGGTTGGGTGTGGGTTGGGTGTGTGTCGGCTAAAAATGACAGGCAGTTGTGGAAAGAGGAAGAGTGGTTGCTGCTGGAAGAAGTGATTAGTGTGTTTTAAGGGGCACACTGACCTCGGACTGTGAATGCCAGTGGCCTGACCCACCCATCACCCTCCTTCCCAAAGAAACACTTCAACTGTCAGCTAGATTTGGGTCCTTAACACCACAGATCCAGAGAATCGGGGCCAACCACATGGTAGCATACAGCTTAGTAAAAGGTCTAAGATGTCTCCTCCTCTTCACAACTCCCCTCACCCCTTCCCGAAACCACAATATTCCAACTGGCCGCACACAGGAAAGGGAAGGGGTTAATTACTGTCAGAGCCTCCACTTCAGCGGCCCGAGTCAAAGGAAGCAGAGAGCGAGGGAGAGGGTGAGCCAAATACATACATGTGATCTCTCAGCCCAGAGCAGACCATCTTCAGCGAGAGCGCCCGTGTTCCCAAGGCTTGCTGTTCCTCAGGAAAGGTGGAGACGGTGGAGGGTAGAAGGAGAGCTGAAAATGTAGACCATGCTAAGAAGTATACCTCAAGATGGACAGTTATTGTTAAAAATATCAATTACTGTGTGCGTCCTACATCAGGTACAAGCCAGGAAAACAAAGGTTTGCGAATACGTTAAATAGCCCCACACTACTATTTGAGTTTCTGATGTGAATTTTTAGTTCATTTTTTTCTTGCTCGTTTTCAAACTGTGACATCATGATGTTTCTAGCGTTCTTAAGCTTAGCAGGAATGCTCCGAATCCACGAATACTCTCCAGACTTGCTGTGGGCCGAAATCAAGGCCAGAGCCTGCTGGAGCCCCGTGTGTTCAGTCCGAGAAGTGAGTGCTACGTGAAGGCCCGCGGCGGGCTTGCTCTGACGACGAGGCGGGGAGGCCCTCCCTGTCCGGACTTCACGACAGCTATCCTACTTGGCTGTTCAGCGGCCTGAACTGTTTCCTCCTTGGTTCTTGGCGTTGTTCCAGGTAACTGAAGTGAGTCAACAAGAGAGATATTTACTTTTCATTTCAGTCCTTCTAGTTAGGGCTTAAGGTCAGGGTCAAACTCCATTAGTGTTCATCAGTATTTGCCTCATTTGTGAGCATTTTCTGTGTCTCCTCTCGGCTGTTCTCTTGCTTCCCATTGCTTCTATTCCTTTTGCTTCTTACTCCTTTTTTGATGATGGGGAAATCTGTTATATTTAGAAGCAGCCACGTGGACATGGCTTAGACAATCCTCGTTCTATTTACACCCAAAGCATCGTAGTCAGGGGCCAGTCAAATGCACACCCTCCTTCCACCAGACCCACTCACTGTGTTGCCCTTGGCTTCATCAAGGTCACAGGACTCCTTCACTGCTTCTTTGGTCTTGAGGCAGATGGAGAACAACACTGCGGCCACGGGGAACTTGACAAAGGCAGAGTGGTCAGGCTTGTTCCCATTGGGAGAGCTCTCCAGGCTGTCACGGGGAACTGGGGCTCATAGGAGAGGAGGGTGACATTCAGATCTTCTTGTGCCTTTTGACACAGCCTTCTTGGCCTTTTTAATATTTTGTTCTGATTTGGGTTTGGTGAGGGGCAGGAGCCCTCCTTTGCCTTCACTGTAATCTTTATAAAAATCCTATCTGTATCTTTCATAGCCGTTTACTGGTCTGTCAATGAGAGGTGTGGGCACTGTTTTAGCCTGCAAGTGATGTTCAGCTCCTAGAGACTGCTAGGTTGTCATTGAGACTCTCTCGGAGAGAGATATTTTATATATAATTTGCCGATTGATTTGACTTATATATATATATATATTTATGATTTATATATGATATGCTGACGTTAACAGAACCCTATAGGTTACACTTTCAGCTTTTAAATTTCTAGGTCATCACCTCACTCTTTTTTCAGCCTTCAGACATCTTATGAACACACCACATATTTTATAAAGTTATTGCTAGTCGCATAACAACTTCAGACAAATTTCTTTCTTTTTTTCTTTTTTTTAAAGATTTTATTTATTTATTTGACAGACAGAGATCACAAGTAGGCAGAGAGGCAGGCAGAGAGAGAGGAAGGGAAGCAGGCTCCCCACTGAGCAGAGAGCCCGATGCAGGGCTTGATCCCAGGACCCTGAGATCATGACCTGAGCCGAAGGCAGAGGCTTTAACCCACTGACCACCCAGGCGCCCCTTCAGACAAATTTCTTAAGTTCTTCCCATGAAATGGTAGTCAGAAAAAAGAGATCTGAATACAAGTAAATGAATATATATTAGACGATTTTGAACTAAAACAAATAAAAGTGTTGTTCAGTATTGCTTCCCAACCTTGACAACCTTTAAGTCAACTATTTGTTCCAACATTAAGAGAAGGTAATGCTTTTTAAATGACAGGCTGGGCCACTTTCCCAAGTTTCATCTAGATGGATTACAAGATTATAAGATTCTTATTTCTTATCAACTAGTACCAATTTCATATTGCTTGAGTCCTTCCCAAGGCCTTGGGCAATTCCAAGCTCAAGCTAGTGCTCAATAAACGTACTGTTTGAGACAGTGAATCAAGTAATTTCAGACAAAATATATTAAACATAAAATAGATCGAATGTGAAAACAGTTTGAATTAGAAGGGATGGAAATTAAAATGGGATACCATAATGCATCCACAAGGTTGACAAAAACTAAGAAATCTGATACATAAGGTGTGGGCAAGAACGCAGAGCAGCAGTAAATCTCACAGTGTTGGCAGAAGTATAAACCGGTATAACCACTCTGAAGAGCAACATGACAGTATTAGTAAAGTTGAGGATACGCATGACCTTCAACCTAGCAATTCCACTTAGAGAGATACACCCTAACACGTCTGCTTGGAGACATACATCCTTTTACACATCTTCACAGAAAAGATACACACAATAACGATCAGTGCAGCACTGCTTCTGCAGCGAAAATGGAAAGCTAACTAACACGGAGAAAAAAGTGAAACACAAGAACACCAGGAACCGTCTACACATCCACCAGCCAAAAAAAAAAAAAATCCCGAACTGTAGCATGTCTATTAGGAAGATAATGGGTAAACTGCCGCATCCTCTCACGGTGGTACGCAGTAACAGTAGCGAATATAAAGGCACTGGGCTATATAGACTAACATGACTAAAACTTTAAGACAATGTTACTTGACAAAAGTGTGTTGTAGAAAGACAAGAGGTTTAAAAATAAATAATATGTAGTGTTTTACATATAGAAACACACAATGTGAAAAATGCTTTAAGTTTGAATGAGAATAAAAGAGATCAAATTCAGAATAGTAGTTACTTCCAGGTAGGAAAATATAGGAATAGAACCCAAAAATAACACCTAAGGCTTCAGGTGTATCTGTAATATTTTATTTCTTAAAAAAAAAAAAGAAAAAGAAAAAGAAACGAAACAGTTTAATCTAACAAATGCCATAAGAAAGCAACTTTTTTTAGAATGGGGAAGACATTTTGAAGTCCCCATCCAAAGTTATAAATAGCCCAGTTTACTATGTCAACAAATGGCCCAAATTAGAAAAAAATAAGAGTATGACTCTCCAAATAACAAAATGACAATATGAGTTTTAAAATAGCCAGAGAAGGGGCGTCTGGATGGTGTAGCTGGTTAACCGGCTGACTCTTGGTTTTGGCTCAGGTCATGTTCTCAGGGTCCTGGGATCGAGCCTCATGTCAGGCTCCACGTCTAGTGCTCGCACACTCTCTCATAAATAAATCAATCTTTAAAAAACAAAACAAAACAAAAAAAACAGCCAGATGGTTTAGTTTAAAACTCAAAGGTGATTTAGATTTCTAGCAACCCCACTTCCAGAGAAAATCCTTCCATGTCTACAAGTCAGTAAATCTTATGTAGTTTCTTGAGAATACAGAAAGAGACATATGCTTTTTTTTTCAAAGATTTTATTTTATTTTCTTTTGACAGACAGAGATCACAAGTAGGCAGAGAGGCAGGCAGAGAGAGAGAGAGAGAGAGGGAGGAAGCAGGCTCCCTGCTGAGCAGAGAGCCCGATGCAGGGCTCGATCCCAGGATCCTGGGATTATGACCTGAGCCAAAGGCAGAGGCTTTAACCCACTGAGCCACCCAGGCGCCCCGAGACATATGCTTTTATAGCCAACAAAGGCCAAGCAATTAGAATAGAAATGTTAAGAGTCAGAGACAGAAAACACACACCAAGAACTGTTAAGAAACAAAACTACTACTAAGAGTTAAACAAATAAAAACTAAAGCAACTCTTTATGAATAATCCTTGGTTATGAGTGCTTAATTTTCAGGAGCGCAGAGAGATTGAACATTCTTGTGGAGACAGCAAAGGTTTCCCTGCAGAAATGACTCTAGGGCTGAAATGTGAGAAATGAAAGAATACGGATGAATTAAGTACAGGGGGGTGGTGTGCCTTAGGCAGAGGGTGGGGAGCAGAGTGGGCTAGGAGCAGATGAAAGTACTGAGGCTGGAAGAGCAGTGCATGGGGCAGAGACTGTGGGGAGCTGGTGCATCATGGGGCAGAAGAGGAAGGTGGGGCCTTGTACACCTTGTTAATGAATTTGATTTCCAGATGACCAACAATGGAATGCCATCTAGAAGTTTAAATGAAGGTATTTTGTATTCTTGATGACTTTTTAATTTTGTGCGTGGGTGTGTGTGCGTGTGCATGGATGGGTGCGGAGGGACGCAAAGTGGATGCAGAAAGACCAGCTGAAAGGCTACTGGGGCAGTCCACGGGAGAGATGACAGGAGCTTTGTCTACAGCGGTCATGATGGGAAAAGATAAAAGCAGATGTTCTCAAGAGACATGTAGGACAAAATCTGCACAAATCAAGGACAGACTAGAGGGTAAGAATAAGGAAGAGTGAGGAATCAAGGATTGTTCAGGGCTTCTGGCTTGCACAACTCGACAACTGTCATTCACTGAGAAAGGATGCCGGAAGAGCACCAGGCAGGTGAGGAACCGAGTAAGCGGGGCAGAGATCGGGAGTTCAGTTTTGGACATGAAAAGTTTGGGCTACCCTTGAGAAATTGAAGCAAATTTAGGGGAGGTCTTAGTTTGAGGTATAAATTTGTGACTGCCTACCGATAAGACAGCCCAGGAAGAGAATACAGAAAGAAAAGAGGACCAAACTTGGTGGGATTCTAATATCGAGGCCAACAAAAATGTAGGCAACAACTCTACATAAAAGAAACATAAAAGGAGGGACCAAAAAAACAGAAGAAAATATATGGAGAAATACAATCTTTCTTTCAATAAATTCTTGTTAGATTAAGAATTAATTAATGAACACATGTATCTGGCTCAATGGCACTTGGCTTGAACCATAAAAGAGTTTCCGTTCCACTTTTTTAAAAAAAAATTTTTATTTCTACTGAATTAAAAAAAATCTGAAGTCATGATCCTGCAGATTGGAGAAAGGAATCAGCTTCAGATGATGTGTCAGTGACATTCAGATTGATTACTTTACAAAGCTATTTCTCATTGAAGATGACGTACAGCTCTCAGACAGGGTCTAGTCTAGGCTGCTAATCTTATCACACTAAAAAGTTGGAGGACCGGAAGTTTTGAGTGGAAGGATGATTGCAAGAGGATTCTTAAGATACTGTTTGGATATGCTTGTTCTGGAAGGTTATCTTTCATTTTTGGATGTAGCATTTGTGTGTTAGACATGCCCAATGATAGGTCATTGAGACTTCTGTCCAATAACTAAAGAGGGCCAACAAGGGTTAGAAAAGTCAAATTTTTGGTCAGTGGACTACTTGAAACCATTTTGTTGCTGTTGTTGTTGTTCTCAGAAAATCTGGTTATTTTACATTCAACATATTTCCAGCTAGACATTAACATTATTGGTATCACCTTTTAAAGGAAACTTGTTTGAACACCATCTCCCTCAAAATCCATCATATTTCTGTTTGAAAGACACACTTCCCACCAATTCTTCACACTGTACACTAAAGAGACATCTTTTAATAGCCATGATTTCATAATATTCTGTTTTCAATATTTCCTTCAAAGCCAAATCAAGATCAGAGGTGTGTTGCTAACCACTAATTTCATGGCAAATGAATTACTGAGTGACTGGGCATTAGGTATAATCTTATTTATTCACAGGGCAGTATCATTCCTTGCAGAATTTCTGCCCCCATATATACTCTCAAAAAAAAAAAAAAAAAAGGCCCTCCTGGTGTTTCATCATTACTAATTCGAAGGCAACTTTTACAGTCTACAACCCAGCTCATAAAATGCTAACTCTTAGGGCACCTGGGTGGCTCAGTGGGTTAAGCCTCTGCTTTCGGCTCAGGTCATGATCTCAGGGTCCTGGGATCGAGCCCCGCATCAGGCTCCCTACTCAGCGGGGAGCCTGCTTCCCTTCCTCTCTCTCTCTGCCTGCCTCTCTGCCTACTTGTGATCTCTGTCAAATAAATAGATAAAATCTTTAAAAAAAAATGCTAACTCTTACCACTTGGATTTTCACCAACCCACAAAAGAATTGGTCAAGACTTTTCCTTCAAATGGCCCACTTATGTGAAAAGAACAATAAAGTGAAATATGTTATAAGCATGCACGTGTGACAGTAACTGGTATTTCAACATATGTCCAACAGAGATATCTGCTAAGGAACACTGCCTAAGAGCCTCTTCTGCTTTCTCCTTGATAAAAATATGCATCAATAATTATATGATTGCTTTTACAAGTTTGGTTTTAATTTGCTAACAGAAATTTAATTCTGAATATTGCTTCCATGGTCCTGTCCTCCTCTCTAACTGTAGTGACCGTGGTAAAAATTGTTTTGCAGATGCTCTGGAAGAATTAACTAGCTTACCAGAGAGGTTGCTGGGCTCTATCTGAAAACTCACTGAAGTTTAAACGGCTTAGGTCACCATTTGACAACACTTTACACAACAGATAATGTACCAGACACTCGGAGTAAACGGATTCTTCACTTAATACGTCTAATTCTCAGATGTCAGTTACTGAAAATTGACTGGACATTCCCTGCTTGTACAAAACCACTGTCCTACAGAGATTCACAGTCTATGTCCCTGTAATGCTGCAGTTCTCTTTATCATTTAAGGACATAATTCTGAGTCACAACAGTGGTATCTCTACTCTCGTTTCAGGGCTTACTACTTAGCAAATCACTTCAGAAACACTGAGCTGTCTTTTTGTGAGTTGGGACTATAATGCAACATTGTAAAACAATAGAAAATGCAAATTAATAAACAAGACAGGAAGATCAATAAAGTGCACCCCTGTGGCTACGAGCTGAGAAAGGCTAACACAGGCTCTATCATTCATGTATAAACTAATGTGTCCAAGTGTAAAAAACTTAGTGGACTTTCCGAGAAAATGATACTTAATCTTATATTTCGAGCATGTGAACTATTAACAAAATTGCTTCATTGTTTTGCTTTTCTTCTAACGTTATTAGGCTACTTAAAAGATCCCCAGGAATCGCTAGTATAGTTCATAGACCCTACCCCAAAAAACCCTAATTAAAATATCAGGTGAGACTCGTGGTCCAAAGAGGAAGGGGTAAATACAGCACTGAACTCAAATAATGTTTAAATGATGAAAACTCACTAAACTGGATCCCACTAACTCGAAGTATGGTATACAAATAATATGAGCACACTACGTGAGAAACGTTGAAGCCACAGATGCTTGACAATTCCAAAGACCAAACTGTTTTTAAGAGCTTTGCATTTTAGAAGTTTTGAACAGTTGCAGTATCAAATTTAGGTTACTTTGTCTATCACTGATGTAATTAGCAAAGTAAAGTACTATTTCCTATAAATGTTACACACAGAAGAGAACATAAAGGATGGGAATCAGCTTAAATTCAGATCGGGTCCAGAATAAGATTTAACTAAACACTTTTGGAAATGAGATTAAAATGAATCCTTATTTCAAATGTATGTGTTACCATTATCTGCCTTTTAATAAGCACGCCTGTGACAACAGACAACATGTTTTGCTATTTCTTACCTATAGGACTTCACTGTCAATGCTAAGGTAAACAAACAGATTACTTCTCATTCCATTATTTCTTTTTTATATATAAAAAAGACTGGGTGATCCTATTAGCCAAATGTTGAATGTTCTACAATGCATGGGAACTAACCAAGCCTTGTCTGTTGTTTGTTTTCAAAACTCTTAACTGACAGCAAATCTATGAGCATAAATGAAAATTATTTAAAAAATAATAACAAATACACAGTGTACAGGCTACATTCAGCAAATGTCTATCTTTCCTTGGATTTTATTTTCATACATTAAAGAAAACAAAATTGCCATCATTCTTTATATACCTATTTGGAAAAGCGACACTTCATCAGCAAGATTAGCACCATTTACAACAGAAATTACTTGTCATCAAGAACATTTTTTAGTTAATCGGATAAATAAAGCAACATCCTGCTTCACGTTTGCATGTTTCAACAAGTGCAACTGTGGTTCTACAGTTTTCTCTGGGCCCCTTTGGGAAAGACTGAGCGGGGGTCATATTACTGGGCATCCAACTTGCAAAACGGGCCTCAATCACTTAACGTCACTTAAGATCACTGGGTTTACCAGAGTAACTCACAGATCAATCCAGGAAGAGTGGAGAAGCCAGATGGGGGATGGACAGGGCCACTGAGCACACTTAAGCACTTACTGCATTTTTAAAAGATTCCTGACAGAGAGGTGGCAAATTCTGCCCCACTGTGACTCCAGCCCAGGAAAAGAGCATCTTCGGGTAACTCATCTGCCCAGAGAGGATGCCTTTTTGTAACTCATTCAACTGCATCATAATTAGCTAACAGACTGGTGCTAGACGTTTCTCCCAGAAGACATCTATAAGGTATACCATCTTACAGAGAAAAAAAGAGTGCAGCAAACATTTCTTTCTCCCTGATCAGAACTATCAAGGCTTTGAAAGTTAAATTTAAAAGGAATCTCAGTAAGTAGTACAAAGACAGATCTCTGAATAGAAGTATATAAAATAAACTGAGTTATCTGGCACTAAGCCAAGTGGGAAAGCCTTGATCTCACAGAGCCAAATTTTTAATTTAATGTTAAAATCACTGCAGGTATAGTTAAACACACCATTCTAAAAAGGTCTTACATTAAGATTCGACCGGTTTTAGGAACTTAAAGTTATTTATCACATTTTCACATGTGACCATGATCCTATTACAGTCTAATAAAAATCACAATATACAAACTTAACACATATGGCATAAGTGTTAAAATATTTGCTTCATTCTTAATGTACTAAAATGTGTATTTGAGAAACTTTTCCCATGTAAGTAATGAGCAACCTGAAAGAGCTTTCCTAGGTTTCATCAGGGCAATCTCCACCCTAACTCCTTTCTTTTCCTCCCCTTGCTGTTTTTTATTTGCACTCTTTGACGAAATGTTCATATTTTTTACACTAAGTTAGCAGAGTGCCTAGTTCATGTGGAAGAAGGAAGAAAAGAAAGGATGCAATAAAAGGAATAAATAGAAAAAAATAAAATAAAAAGTGAATAAAAAGAATAAAAAGATAAATGAATAAAATAAAATAAAATTAAATTAAAGTGAAACAATAAAAGGAAATCATTTCATCTATGGACAATATTAACCATAAATAGATTTTTAAACAAAACAGAATCCTGAGTGTTTCAAAATATTTGTTATGAAGTTTTATTCTATTGAATTAAAAGACATAAATTTCTTTCATATGGTGTATGCATTTGAGTTATAGACACTTCTCAAACAACTATCCAATAAATGTAATTGAAATATCATTAAATATAAATATTATGTTTTATACCATGTCTTTTCTTCAGATATTGATGACACGTAGTATTTTACCTAATAGGAAATTTAGGATAATTGACTTTACAGAATATCATATATTAATAAACCCATATTCTAATTACTTACTATTAAAATAATTAAATACCTTTTGTAGACTGGTAGGATTTAGCTGAGTTTTGTCTATTATTTTCACAGCAACCTGAAAAAGAGAATCATTAAACTATATATTTGAGAATATGTATTTTGATGGATTAAAAACTTATAAAGCAAAAATCTTTCGTCTCATTCCTAACTAGATGTAATCTGGTTGTATTTGGTGCTCACATCACTAGCTGGCTTCTGGTGCATTCCATCGACTTACGTCTTTAGCACATAGGACTCTGAGTCAATAAAATGACACCTTTCATGTTTCTTCCAAGTCTCCCCTTTAAAGTAAAAATTATTTGTATCTTAATCTTTTACTTACGATCTTAGTAAATTACAGTTATCAGAAGGGAGGGGCTTATAAGCTTTCAGTAGGTTCAGTATCATGTGATCAAGGTGATTAGAGAAATCAAACACCCAAGTTCATTTATAGCAGCAAACTGACCAATGGGATCAAGTCTAAGTCTCTGCCTAACAGAGCCCATGTCTCAGCAGTTCCTGGAGCAAGAACGGGCAGAGGACTAAAATGAACCATAAGTGACAATAATATTATGTATAGAGCAAAAGAAAAACTTACTAAGAACAAATTATGACTGAGATCTTCATAATGTCCTACTGGATCCAGGAAACATTAAGTACTATTAACTTGTTTAGTCTTTACTATACAAATTATTAAATATTAGTAATAAATATTTAATACATAAATTTTTGCTAGCTACACACACATAATTTAAAACACATGGGATTTTAGAAATCCAGTTCCCTTATTACCTGAGAAAAACATCTGTTTTTAACCACAAGTGCAATGGGGTCTCTAAAGAGATAAAAATTAGTGGGTGACTTGATACACATTTATACCTACTTTACCTTAAGCAGTAATTAATGAGAACTTAACCCTGGCCCTGTTCCTAGGGTCGGGGAACAAAGGCAGCCAGAAATGCTTCCAGAAATCATATGAAGAAGACAGAAGTCTGAGGAAGGCTCAATCGAAGTGTGCCTGATTTATGAGATGCTACACACAGGGATGAGTCTTTTCCAAACCTTCAAACACCAACTTTTTGTGCCACAATATAGCTGTCCCTGGATGTGCCAGTCACACATATCTCAGTGTTTACCAGCTTTCAAATGTCATATATTCCCAGCATCAGCTACAGGAAGGCTTTGTAACAAGACTCTGGAGAGGTCCAAGTAAATATTAAAAAGCATCATGAAAACTTACCTCTCTACCAGTTAGAACATGTCTTGCCAATTTCACTTTGGCAAAATTTCCCTTCCCTATTGTTTTTTGTAAACGATAATTTCCAATGTGAGGCTGTTCGTCTGTTGCTGATGTAATGGAGTTTCTACACCGAGGGATGTTCTGTCTGCTACTTGATTTGGTAGGCGGGATATGCGGTTCAGTGTATCCATCCACGGATGTATGCTAAGAAAAAGGTTACAAGATTTCATTGTTAATGAAATTATATTTTAAAAAGGACAGAAAAACTACAAACAATTTTCATTAATAATTCAACTTCAGTGAAAATACATTGCACTATGTCTACTTATAATTTCCACTTGACTTTAGCTTGCTTTGCCAGAGGGAATATAACTATTTAAAATGAAATGTCCTGCACAACTTTAGTCATATGTTTTCTTTTTTTCAGAGAGAGAGTGCACCTGTGCATGAGTAGGGGCGATGCTTGAAACAGAGGGGGAGCAGGAGGGGGAGAGAGAATCCCAAGCAGGCTCCACGCCCGGTGTGGAGCCCAATGTGGGGCTTGATCTCACAACCCTGAGATCATGACCTGGGCCAAAATCAAGGGTTGGATGCTTAACCAACTGAGCCATCCAGGCACCCCGGTATATGCTTTTGATTAAAAAACAGTAATAAGGAGATAGATGGATAGAAGTCACACAGACCATTACTCCTCTAAGGGTATTATCCCTTTAGGCTGAGATGAAAACACAGTCCCAGACTGTATCATTTAAAGGGCAGGATGTCTTTAATGCCAAGGCAAACAAGTTCATGGGTACAGCTCTGTTTCTCCAAACTGGCCCCGCTACTTGTCACGTTCACTCTCTGATTTGCTGGCATACAGCTCAGTCAGTTGACCCACCGGCTGCCTGCTTCGTTATCCTGATGGCCACCTGCCCAAGCCCCTCACCCAGCTTACTGTGCTCACCCAAGAGCCGCAGCCCCGCCTGGGTGGGTGACCTAATGGCCACTGCATTCCTCCCCAGCGCTACTCTTGAAGCAAAGATGTGGGTCTACCTGACCGTCTCACATGAGCCCACAACTGTAACGAATCCTACTCAAGGGCAGGCTCAGCGCCTGAGTCTCGGGGCCGCTGCCTGACGAACCGTCCACCGGCTCTCCACGCTCCTGCTCTCGTTCGGTTTTGCCTGCATTCTGACGTGCGCGGGTTTCCAGCAGTTTTTGTGAGAACACAGAGTCACACATAATAAATGTAACCTCTTTCTCCAACTAACTTCTTTGAAATAGTGAAGGTGAGCAGCGCAAATTAACAAAAAGTATTTTTTATTGGCAAAGTAACTAATTCAGCCTGTGTTGTCCTGCCTATACAATTACAAACTTGTCCAGAAAAATTCTGATCAGAAACTTTCTTTTTTTTTTTTTAAGATTTTATTTATTTATTTGACAGAGAGAGACACATCAAGAGAGGGAACACAAGCAGGGGGAGTGGGAGAGGGAGAAGCAGGTTTCCCACTGAGCAGGGAGGCCGATGTAGGGCTCGATCCCAGGACCTCAGGATCATGACCTGAGCCAAAGGCAGACACTTACCAACTGAGCCACCCAGGTGCCCCTTGATCAGAAAATTTGTTAAAGGCAATATTAAAGATGACTCCATTTACCAAGTTCATGCAAAGCATGACTCAAGGTCATTTTTCTCTTTGTTAGTACTTGAGGGTTTTTGTTTTTGTTTTTTTTTTTTAAAGATTTTATTTATTTATTTGACACACAGAGATCACAAGTAGGCAGAGATGCAGGCAGAGAGAGAGGAGGAAGCAGGCTCCCCTCCGAGAAGAGAGTCCAATGCGGGGCTCAATCCCAGGACCCTGGGAACATGACCTGAGCTGAAGGCAGAGGCTTTAACCCACTGAGCCACTCAGGCGCCCCTTGAGGGTTTTTTTTAAACAGGAGAATATCGAATTTAATTATGTATGTAAAAGGGCTCCATAAAATCTGAGGCCTCTACTTTCTGATTTTTTTTTTTTTTTTAACTTGGATCAAATTAAAGAGTTGCGCTGGGTCTTACACACACCTGCAGCCTCCAGCCTCGTGGACCAGTGCCCCCTTGGTGTATCGCACAGCAAACCGCTTTCACGTAGCTCACCATCAGCTCCGCTCTACTATCATCACACACTTACTTCTCTGTCTCTGCCTCCCGACCATGAGCAATCTGAGGACAGGGGTGTTTTCTTTTCATTTTTACATACTCACCACACTGCAGAGCGCCAGACACAGAGGAAAGGCTCAATAAATCAATACTTCTCAAAGTGTTGTCCCTGAACCAGCACCATCAGCATCATCTGGAAACTTGTTAGAAATGCAAATTCTCTGGCCCTGTTCCAGACCTACTGAGTAAGACGCTCTGGGGGTGGGCCCAGCAATCTGTGTTCTAACAAGTCCTCCAGGTGACTCTGATGCAGGCTGAAGTCTGAAAACTACTGCAATAAATAATGAAAGAAGGACTTAAAGTTATTCATTGGCTCTTAGAGACTTTTCTATTATCTGAGCACAAACAAGAGATGTTAATATAAGCAATTTCTAAGCATTAATAGGTTGCTGTACTTTTTCCCATAAATAGTACTTCTCTACCTGAACCGTTCTGCAGGGAATGTGGACCTGTCCATGCTTCAAGACTGAATTTTATCTCCTCCTCAACAAAGCTTTCTGTGTCTTTCCACAAAGCAGAGTTGGTTCCCTCTCTCTTCTGCTGCTATTTTTATATCCAGTACAAATTTCTACTGCAGGAACTATCACACTATCTCCTAAGCATGGGTCACGGTGTGTTTTCACTGCTAGACCTGAAGCTCCATAAGCCCCATAACTCAAAATAAAAGCTAAATTGAAGGAATTCAGGGCCCTTGTACTCCTAATGCCCCAGAAAGAAGGACTTTTGAGGAATGGCTGCCCACTGTCCAGATTTTGATGTGTATAATGCCCACCTCCCAATACTGGTGGCCAGGCACATTCCGACGTTAAGCCAAACTACGACGACTGCATTAGCTGCCTCAAATTTTCATGCCCTTTGCCATGTGACTCTCCAATGTCCTTCCACTGAGAGTAGGACTTAGTTCCCACTCTTTGGGGGTTCAGTCACGTGATCTGCTTTGGCCAAAAGAATGAGCTGGAAGTGACAATAGAGTTGGTCCCAAGTTAGTCATCAAGAGACTGATGTGTTTCAGCTTGCTCTCAGACTTATGCCATCACCCTGAAAAGGACCTGCCCAGGCTGACATGAGAAGGAAACTGAGAAATCCATAGAGGACAGCCACTCCCCCCTGAGCCCAGATTAAACCAGCTGGCTGCCCAGATGACCCACTGGCTCATGAGAAATGATATATGCTTGTTAGTTTAAGCCGCCGTGTTGGGACGGTCTGCGATGCAGCCAATGTCAGCTGATAAACACAGCTATCACTATTTTTAAATCCAGAGGTAAACTTAAGGGAATAGTGAACAATTAAGAGATTCTTATCAAACATGTTCAAATTCTACTAGTCCACAAACAAAAAATAGGAGTTGCTATATAATCAATTCCCTAAAGAGAAACTCTTGGTCAAATAAGGTACATATGGGGAGAATCCTTGATTTTTTTTGGTATCCCTAGCAAGTATGGTGAAAAAGGGGTCAGCAAACTTTATCTGTAAAAAGCTGGATAATAAATATTTTAGGCTTTGTAGACTGTAACTGTCTCTGCTACATCTGCATTTCCCCCCCCAGCTTCTTAAAAATTTAAGACCCTGTCTTAGTTCAGAGCCATACAAAAAATACCAAAAGGCTGGATTTGGCCCATTGGATAACACATGACTCTTAGTTTAACATATCAGGATTAAACTGTTTCTGGCTGATTCCACCACCAGAATAGGGGATTCTAGGAAAAGCACAGGTATGGCTGTGTCTGTACCTGGAGAGCGAAGGAGAGGACAGAGGGCTCATCTAAAAATATTCTTTCTCATCCCACCACCTAAGTTGCAAAAGGTAATATATTCTCCAAAATTCTTTGTAAAATTAAGATCTCAACTTTCGACATTGTGTGAACATTTTATGAGCCATCCAACTTATTCAGATTATTTTTGAGTCTTAAAAGTTAAAAGAAAATATTTAGAAAATATTTTATATCCTATAATTCTGTTTATAAAACACCCACCTAAAAATATTTTCCCCCAAACCCCATCTTTTCTTAGGATTGCCACAGCACCACTCAGGAGCATACTCTTTCCCTGAAGAAACTCTCTGAAGAGTAATTTGGAATAACTGATCTCATTCCTTCCTGATCAACAGCTTAACTCTCAAACAGAAAACCTGGCGAGAACATGAATTCAGCTCAGCCTGGATTAAACAGTGCATTTAATAACTATCTCAATCCTAAGGCTAATAGATATAAGAAATTATGTTAGCTTAATTACAGACTACCTACAAGTTTTTGTCCCCATCTTTAGCTGAAAACACAAGGTAAGATCTTGGCATTTCCTTCTTTACGTTGTCCGCTCAAGCCAGCAGACCTTGAACTCTGTCATTCTTCCTGCAGCAGTGGCAACAGGATCTTAAAGCTTGCCCCCGAGTGCAGCAGCGTATTCAGAGTAATGAAAGGTCATGGTTTCATTAGCTCTTCAAAGCTGCATCCCATGGACTCACACTCCAATTCCTGAATAATAATGGAGCTCCCCCTCCCTTCAATACCAACTGAAATGAAATGAATTTTTCTAATCACTAAGCTATGCATTCTTGGGCAAGCTGTTTAACCTTTATGTGCCAAACTGCTAGAAATCATGTCTTTGGGGCAGGGAGGGGGAACCTTAAAAGCATCCAGGGAAAAACAACTCAATACATACAAAGGAATGACCATTCAAATGGCAGCTCGCTTTTCCTTAGAAACAACAGAGGTCAGGTGACAATGCAAGATTTTTCATGTAAAACCCAAACTGAAACCCCAAATTCTTTATCCGGTGAAAATATTCTTCAAAAAGGGAAAACAAAGATATTTTTAGATGAACAAGAGCTGAACAAATTTGCTGCCAGAAGATATACACATATAAAATGCTAAAGAAAGTTCTTTTTTCTTTAGGGAAATGACCATAGATGGTAACCTGAATCTAACAAAGGGATAAAGAGCTCTGGAAATAGGAAATACGTGAGTGAGTATAAAAGAGTATGTATTTTTTCATCTCTTACTTTTTAAAAAAGACATATGACTGT